GACCGGTTCCGGGAACGACCCGGGGAAAACGACCCGACCCCGGTGAAGGCTCCGCTACCGGGAACGTTAAAAGCGGCCCCGGTGGGGTCGGTGTCTTCAGGATGCGCTTCTTTCCCGGCCTCCTCCTCCTCCTCTCCGCCGGTTCCCCCGCGATGCAGGTAAGGGCGGGCGGGGGCGCCGCGGAGCGGGGGGGGGGGTGGGGTGGGGTGTTCGGTTTTGGGGGGGGGCCGGGCGGTGCCCTCAGCTTCCCCCGGGGGATACCCGTTTAGCACCGGGAGCGCTGCGGGGGGGCGGGGGGGTGGGGGCAGGACCTGCCCTGGGTGTGTCCCCAGGCCAGGGACACCCCGGGGGGGGACCCTGAGCACCCCGAGGCACCCACCGAGGGATGAGTTGAGGAGGGGGGGTGGGTCTGGGTGTTTGTGGGTCGCACTTGGGTGCTGGGGTCCTTCCCAAGCCCGGGGGGGGAGTGTTGGGCTTTGTTCTGGTGTCCCACCACCCTCCCGGTCTCGGGGGGGCCCGGGGCTGCCCGTGACCCACCTGGGTGCGGGGACCACGGAGGAAAGGGGGTGCCCGCCCTGAGCAGGGGGAATCTGGGGGGGTCCTCGCCCTGTGCCGGCGCGGTGGTGGGGACACGTGGGTGACAGATGGCTCTGGCGTGGGTGCACCTTCACACGTGGCCACTGAGGACGAGGGAAAGCACCAGCCTGGCTCCCTCCCGCCTCACCTGGGCCGTGCTCCACTGGCGTGGACGCGGGGTGACAGCTGTCCCCACCCTGGGGGACACAGTGGGGTTGTGGATGGGTCCAGGAGGGAGCAGGCACCCATGGGTGCACCCCAGCAGGGCTTGGGGCCGGCATGAGCTGCACATGTGTGTGGGGGGGGACGACACAGACAGGTGACTCAGGTCCCCTGAGGGCAGCCACCAGGGTGGCACGGGGAGGGACCAGCCCCCTCCGAGCCAGCTGTGCTCCAGCTGTGCCCCGGGCGGTGGCAGCTGCGTGGGTCCCCGCCAAAGGGTGTCACAGGCTTGTGCACCTTGTCTCAGCGGGGCTGGGGGCAACGTGGCTCTGCCAACCCCCCCCATCTCCACCCAGTGCCACCGGCGATGGCACTGTCCCAGCGCCCCGCGTGCCGGGGCGGAGGTGACGAGGCGGGAAGGTCCCACGGGGGGTGAGACCGCGAGGACGTAGCTCCGTGTCCCTGCGTGTCCCCCCCTGCACCCCGGGGCTGCCTCCGTCCTCAGCCCATCACCGGGGCCGCGGGAGGTCAACCCGCAGCGGCTGCCGCAACCCCGCCGCGGGGACAAGGCCAATTTGGGGACCCACCCCCCACGGTGGCCCCGTCCCCTCCCCACACCCCGGCTTCTGCACCACCCGTGGGTCAGCGGCCAGAGCCGTGGGGCGGGCTTGGCGTTACTTGTAATTAAGCGGTTCGTTATTAGCAGCTGGCCCTGCTGAATATTCAGTGGTGGTTGTGCAGCCTGTTGAATATGCATGAGCTGGGGTTGCCAGGCTGGGGGCTGCGCCGGCCTGGCTGGGTCTTCCCTGCAGCCGCTTCCCGAAGAGGGGGGGCGCGGGGGGGGTGTGTGTTTTTGTGGGGTGCTGGGGTGATGCTGGGGCTGAACCGGGGCCAATTTTGGGCAGGGATGGTGGCCCTGCCACCACCCTCCCCGTGTCCCCAAGCTGCAGGTGGGTGGGGCTGGTGTGGGACCCCAAACCAACCCCCCTTTTTTGGGCGTGACTCAGCCGGGTGGGGGGGGTCGTCCGGCGGGGTGACAGGGCAGGGATTTGGGATGCGGGGATCCAGCTGGAGATGGCCGGGGCCCAGAGAGCTTTGGGGGGTTCACAGCTGCATCCCCATCTCCCTCTTACCCCCCCAAAATGGCTGCTCTGCCCCCCCACCCCACCCCCCAACGGGGTTGGGTTTAGGGGGTGGGAGGGGGGGGTCCACTGAGGCCCCGCTGCATCTGCACCTCGTGCTCAGCCCCATCTAACGAGCTGGAGTTAATGAGCTATTTGCAGGCAGGTTTCTGGGCTGGGCTGGAAGGGAACGCTGCAATGGGAGGGGGTTTTGGGGAGGGGGTTTTGGGGGTCGCAAGGGGGGGGTCTCCCCTGTCCCCCCGTGCTGCCCTGGCTGTGCGAAGCCCCTCGGGTGAAGCTGCCCACCCGGCGTGCCGATGACATGCTGTTCCCACAAGTGTCCCCACGTGGCTGGTGAGAGATTTGGGGAGTTTGGAAGCCCTGACCCACAGCTGTGGGGTGTCCTGTCCCCCTGTGTCCCGCCCCCCCCCAAAAATAGGTTCTTAATGTTGCAGCTGCATCACTGGGGGTCCCAGCGTGGGGACACCCACATCTCGAATGGTGGGTGCACCCGGTTGTGGAACCCTAGTGGGGGCAGATCCTCACTTTTGGGGATCCCTGGGCATTTGAGGGGGGGGATCAGAGGTGAGCACCCACCCCCCAGTCCCTACTGGGGCCTTGTCCTGGGGGACACGGGGACAATTGTCCCTGTGGGTGCTGCCCTGTCCCCTCCACGGTGACAACCAGACCGGTGTCTGCGGCGTAGAGCTCAGGAGCACCCCAAACCCCGCGGCGTGGGGGCACCGTGGGGTGCGTGGGGGGTGGGCTTTCCCTGTGGTTGCCCCGCGTGGGAGCCTGTGCTGTGCGTGCCTGTCCCCACGCGGTGGCACTGTGTGACCGTGCCACGGGAGGCGGAGGCGAAAACAGGGCGAGGATGCTCAAAGCTTCGGGGGTCCCGCTGCACCCACTGGGTCGGGACCCGTGGGGGGCTCAGGGTGGGCACCCACGGGCAGAGCTGCTGAGGGGGTTTGGGGTATCCGGGGGGACCCCAGGGAGCTCGCTGCTGTGGGGATGGGGTGCACTGGGGGGGTGGCAGGAGGTGGGGGGCCGTGGCGTGGGGGGGGCGGTTTGCATCCTCCCGGGTCCCCACTGCCGTGGGTTGTGGCGAGGATGAAGATGAGGATGTAGGGGGCCCGGGGGGGGCTTGTGGGGCTTCAGTGGGTCTGGGAGGGGGGCTGGACGCGGTGTGGGGGGTGATGGATGCTCGGGGGTGGCTGCAGCCTCCAAACCGGACTGGGGGTGTGGAGGTCCCCGATACCAGTACCAGGGTAAGGCGGGGGGGGGGAGTTTCCAGGGGTGCTGCTCCCCCAGACCGAGTTTCTCTGGGGGTCCTGCTCCCCTAAACCAGGGATCACCCTGGGTCCTGCTCCCCCAAACCTGAGGTCTCCAGGGATCCTCCTCCTCCAAACCGGGGTCTCTGGGGTCTTCCTCCCCCAAGCCGGGGGTCTTTAGGGGTCCTGCTCCCCCAACCCGCGGGTCTCTGGGGTTCCTCTTCCCGCAACCCGGGGGTCTTTAGGGGTCCTGCTCCCCCAAACTGGTCTCTGGGGTCCCGCAGCCCAGCCCACGCTGGTTCTGCTCCAAAGGCAACTGGGTTGAATGGGACCATCCCGGACCGGGCTTTGGGCAGACCCGCCCTAAACCGGGGCCGTACCGGGCTGGACCGGAGCCAGCGACGCCGACGTCACTCCGGAGCGGCGCCGGCTCCGTTATAAGGGCGAGCGCGGCGCGGGGGCTCCGCAGGCGGCGGGGGCGGCGCGGCCGGTGCGCGGTTCGCCCCGACGGGCACCGGTACCGGGAGGGGGGGGGGGGGCGCGGGGCGCGGTGGAAGGAAGGAAGGGGTGGGGGGTGTGATGGGCATGCGGCGGCGGCGACGGCGACATGACGGTGCCGCTGCTGAAGATCGGGGCCGTGCTGAGCACCATGGCCATGGTCACCAACTGGATGTCCCAGACGTTGCCCTCGCTGGTGGGGCTCAACGGTACCGCCGTGTCACGGGCCGGGACCTCCGAGAAGATCGTGAGTCGGCCCGGTACTGGGGAGGGGAGCGCGGGGAAGGGAGATGGCGGGGGGGGGGGGGAGGATTTGGGGAGAGGGGAGGAGGTGTGGGGGGGGAGGGATGCCCGGGCTGCGGCGCGGAGCTGCGCCACCCGGTACTGGGTTTGGGCAGCTTTGAGATGCGGCGCAGCAAGATCCCCCCCCCCCCGCTTCTTTCCACCCCCCCCCGGGCATGGGGACGCCCCCTCCGCCTTCCCCTGAGCATCCCCCCCGCTCATGGGTACCCCCCCAGTCCTCCCTTCCTCCCGGGCAGGGCACAGCGGGGTCCCCCTGACATGGGACCCCCCTTCTCCGCTGGGGATTCCCCGGGTGCGGGGACACCCTCCCCAGGCAGGGCACAGGGGACCCCCCCGCGGCACGGGGATCCCCCCTCCCTGCCTTCCTCCCCGCCCCCCCCCCCCCCCCCCCAAGCAGGGTGCACTGGGGACCCCCCCGACAGGAGCTGGTCTCCCCTCGGAACTGGGATCATCCAATGGAGGAGACCCCCTCGGGGGGTCGGGGGGCCCCTGACCCCCTTCTTTCCCCTGGTAGACCCAAACTGGGCCATTCCCCGGGACTGGGACAGGACTGGGGCTGGGGGGGGCTGAACCCCCATAGGGGAGGTTCTGCTGCTCCCCCCAGCCAGGGGGATTCTGGCAGGCGGGGGGGGGGGGCCTCTTGGCCAGGGGAGGGGGGTGATCCCCCTCATTTGCAGGACCCTGGGGAGCTGTTGGCTCTCCCCAGGCAGGGGCACCCCAAATTTCCCCTGGGGTTTTCTGGGCTCTGACTGGTGTCAGCCCTTCGGCACAAACCCCCGTGGGAGCCGGGCCGGGTGTGTGACGTGAAAATAAGTTGGGAGCAAAGAAGGGGGGGGACACATAGACGCTTGCGGGGGGGTGGGGGGTTGGAGGGCAGGTTTGGGGGGGCTGCAATGGCAGCGACAGGGCTGGGTGATGCTGCAGGCAGGAACGAGCCCCCCGGGAAGGGCTGGGCTGCGCCGTCAGGGCCGTGGGGTGCCCAACTGTAGCTGGTGTTGCCGGGGGCCATGATGTTAGTGGAGGGGGGGGGGCACAGTCCTTTGCGGTGAGAAAACCCCTCTGGAGGCTGGAGCCTTCCCTCGCGGGACTGGGGGCTGTGGTGGGGAATCCTGCCAACGTGGGTGCTTCACGCCGATCTCGGGTGCAAGCGAGGGGGGGGGGCGATAAATGATTTTTGGGGATGAAGAAGCTGGCGCGCAGCCCATTTGCACCCCAGTGTCAGCTGGGCTGGTTTTGTGTGTGTGTCCCCCCTCCCCAACCCGAACTCACGGGGCTGCTCCCCCCACCTTGGGCTGATGCCACGAGGGGTCTTTCCCCGCTGCCCTCAGACCCATTCTGTAAGGAATCCCTGGGATCCCTTGGGATCTTTTTCAGGATATTATTCCCAGCCGGGCTTCTGCAGAGGATGAGCGCGGTGGCCTTCGCCTCTGCAGCCCTGCGCGTGGCGGTGGGGGTCTCGTCGGGTGGCCCCCCCCCCCCCCCCCCAAAGCAGAAATCTCCTCGCAGGGCAATTAGCGGCGCTGGGGGCAAAGCGGGCGCTGCTCTACAATAATTGGCTAATCATTAGTCACTCTTTGGTGTTGGTTGTAAAATCATTAATCACCGGGAAGGAGCGCTGCTAATGCGGCTGGAACGGGCCGGCGCAACCGCCCACGGGAGTCACCGCCACGACACGCCGGGTGGGAGCGTGGGGGACCGTGTGGGGTGTGATCTCCCGCCCGGGTTTAGCGAAGCGACGCTTTGCTGCGGAAACGAGCTGGGCTTACCCAAAAACTGGCACTCGCCACTCTGGCTTTGGTGCCCGCTACGGCCTTTCACGTTTTTTTGGGGGGGTTCTCGGAGCCGATTTCTAGAAAACAGCGGTTCCTTTTCTGCTCTGAGGTCTGGAACTGGAGTCGCCCAGTCCTGGCTTTGGTGGTCCCATCGGCTCAGCCCCCGGGGACGCTGTGGACCCTGACTTGCCACGGAGGAGCAGGGCCGTGCTCCGGCGATGGAGAGAGCCCGGAGCATCCTCTGCAGCAGCTCCATCGCTTGTCCTGGAGCCGCCCCTCTCCAAAAAGAGGGGGGTAGAGACATGGAGCAGCTCTTCCCTTTACCGCCAGGGCTGATTCAGGGTCTCCTGGCTTTGAAGGGCGCTTGCTCAGCGCCCCCGTACCCCCCCAGCCATGGCTGCTTTGCTGAGGCAAAGGGCTGCGTGGGGATTCCTGGATGCTCGGGGACCCCCCCGGTGTCCCCCAGGAGAGGCTTTGGGGTGCTCTGACATTCCCCGCCCCCCCCCCAGCTCTCTGGCATCCCACTGCACCGCAGCCAAGGGTGTCAGCAGTTTCTGCTCTCCCAAGCTGCTCGCAGGCAGCTTTCCCAGGGAGCTCGAATTAATAACCCCGTGACAGATTGCACTGGCTGCGTTTCACCGAAAAATATCGCCAGGAGCAGCCGCCGCCAGGCCCCCGAGCCGCAGTGGGCAGGCGCGGGCAGGGCTGCCCCCCACCTCCCTCCTTGGGGGGGGGGGTGGGGGGGGTTTATCTGCAGGGCGGGGGCTGGATGCGGCCGCCGAGCTGCAGCGGGAAAAGCAGCTTCCAAGGGATCCGGCTCCGGCCCGCGGATGCTCGCCCGCATCCCGGGGCTGCGCAGGATGGACCCCAGGGTTTCCGCGCCGTGTGGAGCCCAGCGTGGCAGGCAGAGGAGCTCTGCCAGCCTCCAAATCGGTGGCTGGGAGCGCCGCCGGCACGCATCCTGCCTGCCACAAGCCTCCTGCCTGGCATTAATTATGCATTAGCCCTCTATAAAGTATTTATGTCCGCCTGCCGCTCAGCCACAGCCAGAAGGGTCCCGGCTAAAGCGAAATGGTTCCTCGGTGACTGCGGATGCTCTGCCCAGGTTGCTGCTGGGTTTGCTTTGGGCTCTTTCATTTCAATTGCTTTTTTTTTTTTTTTTTTGGCGGGTGGTGGGGAAGAAATGAAGCTTCTGGTGCACAAGATGCTCCCAGGATCCTGGGGGTGGGAGAGCGGGTGGTGCCTGTGCTGGCTGCGGGTGCTTGTGCTGGGGGTGCCGGTGCTGTGCCATGCCTGGAGCAGCTGGGGGACACCCCACCCCCCCCCACCTCCTGCCCTGGGGACCCCAATTTTGGGTGGTTGGGACTGCACAGCGCCGTGCTAGAAGACTTTCCCAACATGTACATGTGATAATCGTGCATCTTATTAATTCACCTGCCGTAGCAGCGAGCGACGGGCACGACGCCGTCCGCCAGCAACTTCCTAAGGGCTCGTTATCCCACAAAGTGGCTCGTCACCAGCCGGGGTTGCCGAAGGCTCCCGGCCCCCACCCTGGCTGGGCTCTATCTCCTCTGCGTTGGAGCTGGGCTGAATAAATCCTCTATTTACCTCCCCCCTGTGATAACTCAGGAATTTACTCAGTTAAGGGCGAGTTTTACACCGCTACCGGTTAATTTATTCTCATTGTGCTGGAGGTTGGAGAACGGTGTTTAGCCACCGCCGTGTCCAATAAATCCCTTCTGATGTGAAACATGAAGTTAAAACCGCTGCGTGTAAAGTAAAGTATCGTCCCTGGCTTGTTACAGGGAACGGGTCATTTATCTTTGCCTGGCTCGGTGCAGAAGGCGCTTGGAGAGCGATGAGTTTGCTCTTGATTTTCATAATTAATAATTATGAATTACCCATGAAATGCTAAATGGCCCAGCACAAAAACACCAGCTTATGGCATGAATAAATCAGGCAAAGGGAAGGGAGAGCGGGGTGGGTGTTTCCCTGCTCGTTTTTTCGGGGTGAGCTGAAAATGGGAGGTGGGGGGGGAGGGAATTGGGAGCCCACAGCAGTCACCCCCATCCTCGGCTGCGTTGGGAGATGGAAAGAAAAACCCTGAGCCGGGATCTGCCTGGAAAAGCTGCAGCCGGATGCAAAAATTGGCTTTTTGAGGGTGATGGGGCTGGTGGGATGCTCAGTTGGGGGGGGATGGCCGGGTGCCCACCCAGGCAGGGGGATGTGCTGGTGTTTCCCTGCCGCTGTCGAAGGGACCCAAAATTCCAGGGGAAGGAATTAACTGTTTGTATTTGTAGCTCTGCTCCCCTCCGGGGACGTGATGGCCACAGTGGAGGAAATTCCTGTCTCGTCAACTCTATTAGTGGGAAATAATGCTGGGCTGGGCTGGGGGGAGGAAGAGGAGGGATGCGGAGCTGGCTGAGGGGAGATGATGGAGATTTCCTTGTCATTCCCTCCCATCCTGCTGTCATTTTGCAGCCGGCGTGGGCCCCGCCGGGAAGCTGAAACCCCCGTGTTTGGAGCAGATCACTGCGGCGAAATGACTCTTGGAGAGGGGGGGAAAAAAAAAATATTAAAATCACCCGGATAAAAACCCGAAAGGAGGGAAAAATGCCAAGTGGCTCAGACCCGGCGGGATGAGGACGGGTTTTGGAGGAGCTACGTGGGCTGAGCCGTGGCAGGGTGTGCTCAGCCCCGGGCTTTGCCGGCACCGTGTGACGACGGTGACGGTTCAGGAAGGGTTTGGTGGGTCCATCCTGGCGCCAGGGTGCTGTTCCCTCACCGGGAAGGATGCTCTGGCCTCTTGCCAAAGCGATGCCACGCTGCCAGCCCTGCCCCGGCCGCTGCGTCTTTGGGGAGCGCGCGGCAGGGTGGGTGGGGGGTGTGGGTGTGGGTGTGCCTGGCAAGGGGCTCCAGCGCCCTTCGGGGCCCTGACATCTCCCCTCCTCTCTCCCGCAGACCCTCTTCCAGAGCCCCGACGAGGGCTGGCAGGTTTACACCTCGGCGCAAGCCCCCGACGGCAAATGCCTCTGCACGGCCGTCATCCCCGTCCAGGGCACGTGCTCCCGCGACCTGCGCAGCCACCAGCTCCGCCAGCTCATGGAGAAGGTGAGCCCCGGGGCGATGCTGCACCATCCCAAACCGGGAGATAAATCCCGGGGGGTGCTTTAACCTGCAACTCCAGGACCTAAATAATATTTAGCGGAGCCCGGAGGGGGTTCCCCATGCAGAATAGGGGGACGGGAGGTTTCCCACGGGGGTTTTCACGCTCCCAACTCCTTTCCCATGGGCTCCGCAGCGATGCTGGCAGAATCCTTTAGCCTTCCCCCTCCCCACGGAGCCGTGAGCAGAGCTCATTTAATTTCTCCCTGTTTTTTCCACATCCGCACGGGCGGGCACACTGCAAACCCCATTAAACATTTATTGGAACGTGCTGCAAAAACACCTCTTAAGCAGCTCCCTTCCGAGGTGGCGGCCGCACCGTAAATACCAGCGGGGCCGGCGCTAATAAATAAATAACGGTTTGAGGAACATGGTCACGTTCGCATCATTTGAAAGCGTGGAAAATAAAATAACTTTGCCGGCTGCGGCGGATGAAATTAAAGAATGAAAGCTCTTAGAGCAGGCTGGGAAATGTGTGCTCGGGTGGTTTAAAAAAAAAAAAAACAAACAAACAAATAACAGCTGAAGCAGGATGAGTGAAATGCATTATTTTATACATTAAAACTGCAGGGGGAAGAGTTTTCTGGCAAGTGTTTGCATAAGTGCCGGCGTGGTGGAGCGGGGAGCAGCTCGTCCTCCCGCTCCCTGGGGATGGGGACACCCGGATGGGGGGGGGGGACTCCTGGGGCCGTGTCCCCACCAGCACTCAGTGACCCCAAGCTGGTCCTGGGGGGTGCTCACCCAAATTTCCCTGGCATGCCAAATTTCCCCAGCTCAGGCCTCCTCGTTAACAGGGAGCTGCGTTAATTAGACCGAGGGCTTTATCACCGCCCCCCCCCTCCCCGTCCCACCACGCAGGTGCAGAACATCTCCCAGTCGATGGAGGTGCTGGACCTCCGGACCTACCGGGACCTCCAGTACGTGCGCAACACCGAGTCCCTCATGAAGGGCCTGGACTCCCGGCTGAAGGTGGCTGCTGAGAGCCAGAAGAGCCTCAATGCCAAGAGCTTCCAGGTGAGCCCCCCCTCACACTGTGACCCCCCCCCCCCCGATGCCTCCTGCGCCCCACGGGCAGCCCTCCCCGAGCACACGGTGCTGCGTGATGCTCCGGTGTGGGTGGGCACCTTGGGAAGGGTCCTGGTTTTGGGGGTCTGGGTGGCCAAGCGTCTTTGGGGGGGGGTCTGAGATCTGAGCGTCCCTGGTGGGGTCCGAGATCTGAGCGTCCCTGGGGGGGTCCGAGATCTGAGTATCCCTGGGGGGGGCCAAGATCTGAGCGTTCCTGGGGGGGTCTGAGATCTGAGCATCCCTGGGGGGGGCCAAGATCTGAGCGTTCCTGGGGGGGTCCGAGATCTGAGCGTCCCTGGCGGTAGACTGAGATCTGAGCATCCCTGGGGGGGTCCGAGATCTGAGCGTTCCTGGGGGGGTCTGAGATCCGAGCATCCCTGGGGGGGTCCGAGATCTGAGCATCCCTGGGGGGGTCCGAGATCTGAGCGTCCCTGGGGGGGTCCGAGATCTGAGCGTTCCTGGGGGGGTCTGAGATCTGAGCATCCCTGGGGGGGGCCAAGATCTGAGCATCCCTAGGGGGGTCCAAGGCCTGAGCATCCCTGGGGGGGTCCGAGATCTGAGCATCCCTGGGGGGGTCCTAGAACAGAACATCCTGGGGGGTCCGAGATCCGAGCATCCCTGGGGGGGTCTTAGAACAGAGCATCACTGGAAGGGTCCCAGGGCTGAGCATCCCTGGGGGGGGCTTCCCCGAGCTGAGCGTCCCTGTAGCACCTGAGCGTGCAGGATGGGTGCGCGGTGCAGGAATGGGCCGGGGTGCCCCAGCCCCTGTGAGCGCCCAGACAAGACGTGGGGCAAACCGACCCGGGGGCCGCATCCTGCCGCCGGGGGGGGCTGTGCCGGTGCCAGTTCCCAGCCCATCTGGCTGCGAAGCGACACCTTTAATTAAACAAAAGGCGGCTCTTCCCTGGCAGAGCCCCGATTTCCACCTGACGGGTGGCAGCCGTCAGCGCTGCGGGCTGATCGATGCCGCTGCCTGTGCTGCAGCGCCTTTGCACCCCCCAAAAAATCTCATTACCACCCCCCACCCCCACCCCCCCCCGCTGAGGCACTGGTTTATTTTGGGAGCCTTAAGGCTTCATCCTGACAGCTGAAGAGTTTCTGTCGCGGGAGCGGCTGGTTCTTGGCACTGAAACGGGCCAGAGGATGCTCGGGTGGACGCTGGGCGCTGACAGTTGCAGGGACGAGACATTGATTAAACGTCTGAGCTGCAGCAAATGTCTCGGCTGGTTTAATCACAGCAGGAGCTGCTGAGCCCCGCGAGTTGGGGTGCAGTCCTGCCGAGACACCGGAATGCCGGCCCGGTAATGCCGCCTCGAAATGAAAGGCGAGGAGGGAGGAAAGGTGCTGGCGAGCCGAGCTCGTTCCCTGGGAAAACCCAGCGAGCCGTGGGCCGGCGAGGTGCTGGACGTGGATTTACGGGCGTCCTTGAGCGAAGGAGACTCGGCGGAGCGGCTCGGAGCCAGGGGCCAGCTCGCTGCCGGGTTTCCCCGCCGCGCCGGTGCCGTGGCTGGCACGATCCCGGCAGGATCCGCCCGGGCATCCCTGCGGTGATCCCGGAGCTGAGCGTCCCTCTGGCATGCAGGGTGCTGAGGTCTTTATTTGGGTGCTTCCAGCTCAAGGCCAAAACGCCTCTTAAGCACCTCCTTGTGCTAAAAGAAGTGGAGCTTTTTAAATCCTGGTCTTGGTTTATAATTCCGACTGTCGTTCTCATTCCCCCCCCGGCACCATTCCTTCATCCCTCCGGCGGAGAGCATCGCTCCGGGCTGGTTGGGGAGGGGGGGGATTTCACCCCCCGCTCCCACATTTTGGCCGCATCCTGCCCCTGCTCCCCAAGTGCTCAGAAGAGGCAAAGCCTTGTCAGTGTTATTAATTAGCGACCCCGGGAACAGGGCTCGTCTCTGGTGCGTTAACGAAGCCGCGCCCCGCGATGGAGGCTTGCTACCCCCAGAGGGATGGACAGATGGACGGCAGGCGTGGGGGCAAGCACCTCCAGGCTCCAGGCAGGGGCTTCATTTAAAATTGGGGGGTTGTTTTGTTTTGGTTTTATTTTTTATTTTTTATTTTTTTCCCCTCGCACCCCTTAAACAGGAGCTCAAGGACAAGATGACGGAGCTGCTGCCTCTGATGCCCGTCCTGGATCAGTACAAGTCGGACACGAGGCTGATCGTGCACCTGAAGGAGGAGGTGAGGAACCTCTCCGGGAACTTGCTGGCCATCCAGGAGGAGATGGGTGCCTACGACTACGAGGAGCTGCAGCAGCGGGTGCTGATGCTGGAGGCACGGCTGCACGCCTGCATGCAAAAACTGGGTACGATCCCCCCCACTCTGCCCACGGGCTGGGCCTCCCGTTTGGCTGCACTGCTGAGATGATAATAATAATAATAATAACAACAATAACAATAACATTAATAATAATAAAAATAATAATAACAATAATCAACAATAATAACATAAAAATAAAAATAAAATAAATAATAATGACAATGATAATCATAACAACAACAATAACAATCAGAATAAACTGAATAATGATGATGATGATGATGATGATAATACCAGCAGCCCAGCATCCTCCAGTATGCACGGATGGGCCGTTTGCTGGTGCAGCTGGGCCCTGGGATCTGTGCAGGAGCTGCTTTTCCTCGCTCAGGAATCGCTGCCGGAGCCCAGTGGTGCTTTTCCCCATCCTGCTGCCCTGTCCCCCCCCCCCGCCCGGGGATTCCCTGGGGCCAAGGGGGTTCCCTGGGATGAGGGGGAGCCCCGGTTCCTCCCCACCGGGTGCATGATGCCCACGGGACCGGAGGGAGCTGGGCAACATCGTGGTCCGGGATGCCCACCCCTAACCCCAAACCCTGTGTGTGTGTCCCGTCCCCCCCCAAACCCTCCCCAGGCTGCGGGAAGCTGACAGGCGTCAGCAATCCCATCACCATCCGAGCGTCGGGCTCCCGCTTCGGGTCGTGGATGACCGACACGATGACACCCAGCGCCGACAGCCGGGTGAGTGGCACGGGCACCCGTGGGGAGGGGGCGGGGGGGACACAGCCCTGCCTGGGCTTCCCGTGGCTCCTGCGTGGCTCTTTTCTGGATGTTTTTCCCCCCAAACCCTCCCAGGCCCAAGCAGAGGGGAATTTTGCAGGCGGGCAGATCCTTTTCTGGCACTCTGGCTCTGGATTTTTGCAAAACCTCAGTGCTCCTCGGGCACCGTGTCCCCTGCAACCTGCCTGCCTTGTGCTGCCGTGGCCCTCCCGGCTGTGCCTCAGTGGGGATGTGTCCCTGGGGTGCACACTCAGTGGGGTGCACGCTGCCTGGGGTACACAGTCTGTGGTGTGCACATTCTGTGGAGTACACATTCTGTGGGGTGCAGGCTCCTTGGGGTGCACAGTCCATGGGGTGCATGCTCCCTGGGGTGCACATTCCCTGGGTTGCACAGTCTGTGGGGTGCACATTCCATGGGGTGCACACTCTTTGAGGTGCACAGTCCCTGGGGTGCACAGTCCATGGGGTGCACGCTGCCTGGGGTGCACGGTCCCTGGGCTGCACGGTCCCTGGGGTGCACATTTCCCGGGGTGCACGGTCCCTGGGGTGCACAGTCCCTGGGGTGCACAGTCCCTGGGGTGCACATTTCCTGGGGTGCATGCTCCCTGGGGTGCACATTCCCTGGGTTGCACACTCTTTGAGGTGCACAGTCCATGGGGTGCACATTTCCCGGGGTGCACGGTCCCTGGGATGCACATTTCCTGGGGTGCATGGTCCCTGGGGTGCACATTTCCCGGGGTGCACGGTCCCTGGGGTGCACACTTCCTGGGGTGCACGGTCCCTGGGGTGCACATTTCCTGGGGTGCACGGTCCCTGGGGTGCACATTTCCTGGGGTGCATGGTCCCTGGGGTGCACGGTCCCTGGGGTGCACATTTCCCGGGGTGCACGGTCCCTGGGGTGCACATTTCCTGGGGTGCACGGTCCCTGGGGTGCACACTTCCTGGGGTGCATGGTCCCTGGGGTGCACAGTCCCTGGGGTGCACGTTTCCCGGGGTGCACGCTCGCCGGGGGGGGTGCAAACCCTCTGCCCGTGGGACGCGTGTCGCCTCTGCGGAGCGCTGCCAAGCGCTAACGAAGGCAACCGGGCTGCTGTACTGGGAGACCGGGCAGGATCTTCCTCTGCCGGCTGGGAACTCAGTCAGGCCGGGTGTTCCTGACGGAGCACGGCCCTCTCCTTAAAAATCGGATCCGCAGAAAACGCGGCGAAAGCGAGGAGCCAGAAAAATAGCTCGTCCCGGCGCGTGGCGGCAGCATAAACAGCTGCATGAGCCGGGGATGCAGGGGGCTGCGCAGGGCATGGGCTGTGTCCGTCTGTCCTGGTGGCCCATCTTGATGGGGGGGGGGTGGGGGGGGACCCCCTTTTGGCCAGGCATCCCTAACCCGAGCCCGCTGCAGGTGTGGTACATGGACGGTTACTACAAGGGCCGCCGCGTCTTGGAGTTCCGGACCTTGAACGACTTCGTGACGGGCCAGAACTTCGTGCAGCATCTTCTGCCGCATCCCTGGGCCGGCACCGGCCACGTGGTTTTCAACGGATCCCTCTACTACAACAAATACCAGAGTAACATCGCGGTGAAGTACCACTTTCGCTCCCGCAGCGTGCTGGTGCAGCGCAGCCTCGCCGGCGCCGGCTACAACAACACCTTCCCTTATTCTTGGGGCGGTTTCTCCGACATCGACTTCATGGTGGACGAGAGCGGGCTGTGGGCCGTCTACACCACCAACCAAAACGCCGGCAACATCGTGGTGAGCCGGGTGGACCCCCAGACGCTGGAGGTCCTGCGTAGCTGGGACACGGGTTACCCCAAACGAAGCGCCGGAGAGTCCTTCATGATCTGCGGCACGCTCTACGTCACCAACTCTCACCTTGCTGGCGCCAAGATCTATTTTGCCTACTACACAAACACTTCCAGCTACGAATACACGGATATTCCCTTCCACAACCAGTATTCCCACATATCCATGCTGGACTACAACCCGCGGGAGAGGGTGCTCTACACCTGGAACAACGGCCACCAGGTCATCTACAACGTCACGCTCTTCCACGTCATAAAGACGTCGGGAGAGCTGTGACCCCGCGCCGGACTCCTCTGCTCTCCCTCCCCAGCTCTTTATTTTTCTACACTTCAGCCTCGGCCATTCTCTCTAGGGGACGGAGCCTTCCTCGTCCTCTTTGATCTTTATTTTTTCATATTTCTTCGGTTTCTTCCCGCGGTTCATGGCGCATGGATCTCTTTTGCCTTCATTCGAGCTGACCCTGGTTGTTTCCTTGGTTTATTTTTATTTCGGTTTTGGTTAGTTTTGGTTTTGTTTTCAATTTACATCTTTATTTTGGCAGCAAATAAAAACGGTCTCTTTGACGTTTGATGGGGCTTGTGCTGATTTCCCCCCCCCCCCCTCCCCCTGATTTTTTACAAAATTATTATTACTCTTTGTCACTTGATGGCTTGGTTTCCCCCCTTTTCCTGTATCCTCTCAGCCGGCGGATGCCAGGAACCGGCTGTAATCTCCAGCCCTCTCCTCCAGATGTGTGCCGGCAGCCCACGCTGTTCTTTATGGGCATGTTTAATGCATGCGGGTGCGGCGCTGGGGAAATTACAGCGGCGCTGGGCAAGGCGAGGAGGAAGGGAAGGGAAATTAGAGAGCAGCTGCGGTGAGCTGGGGGGGATCAGACCCTGCGTGGGTGGCTCGGCCCAAAATGAGCACCCGGCGAGGCCGGGGCAGCGGGATCCTGACCCTGGGGGAGAGCAGGAACCTGCTGCCCAGAGATGAGGAGGGATGGAGGAGATGAAGAAGGGGTGGAGAAGACAGAAGGGATGGAGGAGACGAGGAGGAGATGAGGGGGGGATGGAGGAGATGAGGAGGGGATGGAGGAGAAGCAGACAAGATGAAAGGGATGGAGGAAAGGAAGAAGATGGAAAGGATGGAGGAGATGAGGAGGAGATGGATGGAGGAGAAGTGGAAAAGGTGTGAAGGATGGAGGGGATGAGGAGGGGATGGAAGGGATGAGGAGGGGATTGAGGAGGGGATGGAGGAGATGTAGAGGAGATGGGGTGGGAGGGGACGCAGGGCTGAAGGAGGCAGAGGGAACAGTGCTTCCTGGAGCAGCCTCGCCCCTCGGGCAAACCTTCTGTGGGCATGATCAGGCCTAATAAATCTTAAATTTGGCCTGAAAAATCAAGTTGCAGAGCTGTGCTTCCCAGGGATACAGGACCCTGCAAGCAGAGACCCCCCCACACACCCCCAAACCCAGGGGGAGAGCTGCGTGGGGATGCTGAGAGGATGGGGACAAGGACAGGGACAGGGACAGGGCGTGTTAAAGCCCGTGGAGGTCACATCAACCCTTCTGCTTCCCCACTGCAGCCCCGGGACCTTTGGGAAGGGAAAAGGAGGGGGGCTGGTCCAGCCCCGGATGATATCATGGCGCTGGTGCCTGGGCTGAGAGCATAAAATCAAAGCTGGAAGCATCTTGTCACATGTATTCTCCTCTCGGAAGAGGAGTGGGAGACAAGGGGCTCATCCCTGTTAATCCCATCAACTGCTTGGGTGCAAGAGGAGCAGGTTTGGAGGGCTGACACCCGCCACCCCCCCCCCCATGGTGGCGTGTTTTGGGGTGCTGGGAAGTTCAACTCACCCCAACCATGCCGATGGGTTCGCTGAGGGGGGCATCAATAGGTCCTGGGGGAGGAGAAGACCCTCGTGTGCCCCTTCTGCGGAGTCCAGGCACTCAGGGAAGCACCTTGGCCCCAGCACCATCTGGGTGCTGGCGGCACGTTGGGGTGCTGCTGGGTTTGGGTGCTGGGAGCTCCCCCCCCCCCCTTTCCCTGCACAGGCAGCAGCTGCCGAAGCACATCCCTGTTTTTCCAGCATCATTCCCGCATCCCAGCCGGGCTGTGACCGCGGAAGGCGATGAATCCCCCGCGAAGGGCAGCTCAGCCAAGCCCCCGCCGGCCACTTTTCCCACCGTGGCTCGAGGCTCGCTCATGCAGGGAAGTTAATTTGCTGTCGGCAGCACGCGCGGGCCGGCGGCCAAGAGCCGGCACGGCTCCGGAGCCCGGCTTGGCGTGGCCAGGGTGGTTAGTGAGCAAAGCCAGGTGAGGAGGAGGAGGAGGATGGAGGCCTTTACCCTGCCCGAGGGGTGTGCAATGCGCAGCCACACGCCTGCCAGCTCCGGGCAGCAGCTGGCGACCATCCCTGCAGTGATTATTTAGCAATTTGTGCCCGAGCAAGGCTCCCCATCTCGGCAGAGCCTGTATCCAAGCGACCTTGGACCAAGCTATTAAGCCGGGCTTAGCCCACAGCACGGCTGCTGCTCGCCTGTGAGGAGCGCGCGTGTCTCACCCTGTGGCTTCCAGCAAAGTGAGAGGGGTTTTTTTTTGTTTGTTTGTTTGTTTGGGATTTTTTTTTTTTTCCTTATCCCTGAAAGTAGGTGACCATGGCAGGAGGGACACAGGGGGGTGCTGGCTGCTGCGGTGCAAAGCGAGCAGGGACCAGCAAGGGACTGGGAGGGGGAGGCATGTCTCCTTCTCACCCCCAGCCCATCCCCACCCAGTCCCAGCCTCATCCCCAGATAATCCCAACCACATCCCCTATTATCCAATCCTATCCCATCCAATCCCATCCTCATCCTCATCCCCATCCCAGCCCCATCCCCATCCCATCCCCATACCCATCCCCATCCCATCCCCATCCAATTCCCATCCCCATCCCATCCAAATCCCATTCCCATTCCATCCAATTCCCAACCCCATCCTCATCCCCATCCCATTTAATTCCCATTCCCATCCCATCCAATTCCCATCCCCATTCCCATCCCATCCAATTCCCATCCCCGTCCCCATTCCATTCAGCTCCCATCCCCATCCCCATCTCCATCCCCATCCTCAACCCCATCCCCATCCCATTCAATTCCCATCCCCTTCAATTCCCACCCTCATCCTCAACCTCATCCAATTCCCATCCCCATCCAAATCCCATCCCCATCCCATCCCAATCCCAATTCCATCCCCACCCCACCCAAGTGTCCCACCGGCGCAGTGAGCCCTGGGCATGGAGCTGTGCCCGGGGCTCAGCAACGGGCACCTCAGAGGGTCCCTGGGCCTCGGTGGTGGCCCACGCAGGAGGGGCCCGTGCCACGGTTAGTCATTCCTGGTGCCAACACGGAGCTGCAGGGGTGGCCCCCCCGTAGCCAAACCCTCCCTCCTCATTCCTTGCCCCACAGCTTCTCCCCAAAAGCCTTCCCACCGATTGTCCCCCGCCTTCAAACCCAGGTTGGCTTCATCTCCCAAAACGCCACCGCAGCGCTCGAGCCAGTGGCCTTGGTGACAAAGATTGATGGGGCCGAGCGGAAGCTTTGGGAAAAGGCTCACTGGGAGGGGAGCACCGGGACAAGGACGATGCCACCGACAGCCACGCAGGGACCTTGGTCACCTTCCCTACACTTTGGGTGTCCTTAGAGGGGGACCCTGCATGGGGACAGGGATGGGACCGGAGCCCCGTCCCCGCCGAGGCAACGCAGCAAGTGCTGCAGTGCAGCGGCTGCTCGAGGCACGTTCGGTCGGTGCCTACAGCTGGGGGAAAGAAAAAAAAAACAGCGAAAAACCCAACACGCTTTTCCTTTGTGCTGCTATTTATTAGGCTACAAAAGAAATGGGGGGGGGGGGGGGAGGGGGGGCGAAAATAACCCAGGGCACTTAATAACCTTACACATGTAGAAACTCTTCTGGAAAACAGCCTGCCTCCCTGCCCAGAATCACTCATCCTGCAGGCTGGGTTTTTCCAGCTTATTGTAATTCTCGTGAAGGCTCAGCCCTAACGGGCAGCGAATTGGTTATTCAGCACCGATCCTGGCTGGGGATGGAGCTGGAGTAGGGCCCCCCTCACCCCCCCCCGCTCCGAGCTGGAGGGGGGTGGTGGCTGCCGCTCCTTTGGCTGGCGTTAAAAAAGGAATTCCAAATTATTTCGCATGTGCCCAACGCCCAGGCCCTGAGAAACCCCCCCCAAAAGGGGCTACGGCGGCCCCTGCGCTGGGTCCCCGGCTCAGTGGGGACCTCCCCCCCCCCTCCCCCCTCCGAGCCCGGGGAAGCGTCTGCCGCCTCGCCGAGCCCCAACCCTCCCGTTAATTACTTGCTTCGTCATTAAGCATCAGCAAATCCACCCCCGCGCCTGCCCGAGCCGGGGCTCCGGCACTAATCCTGTTTACCGCAGAGCCGGGGGGTTGCGGTCGCGGCTGACGGCCCGTTGGGGACCTTCCCCCCGAACGAAAAACCAGCGGGAGCTCGATAATTGCGGCTTATTTATGGGAGAGCAGAGCCGTCGCCGCTAAAATAGGCCCTGGAAAAAGAAAAAATTGAGCTGCTGCCCTGGCCGGGCCCCCCGCCGTGGAGAACCGGAGGGTTGGGGTCTTCCCCGGGGCCAGGCTGGTGCTGGGGGAGGGAACTGGTCTGGTTAAATTGCTCGTAGCATCCCCGGTTCCTGCCTGGGGGGCAGCTGGCAACAGGGAGTGGGGCACGACCCCGCAGAGAGGTACTTGCTCTATGATATATGTATGTATCTATAATGTATAGAGAAAGCTGAGCTATAATATATACCTATTAGCTATAATTATAGAAAAGGGCTATCATATCCATATTAGCTAGAATATATAGAAAAGAGCTATAATACATCCATATTAGCTACAATATATAGAAAAGAGCTATAATGTCTCCATACTAGCTATAACATACAGAAAACAGCTATTACATACCCATATTATCTCGAACATACAGAAAACAGCTATTATATATCCATATTAGCTACAATATATAGAAAGCAGCTATAATATGTCTGTATTAGCTATAACATGTCTGTATTAGCTATAATATAGAGAAGTCAGCTATAATATATTTGTATTAGCTATAATATTGAGAAGTCAGCTACAATATATACGTATTAGCTGTAACATACAGAAGTCAGCTGTAATATATACATATTAGCTACAATATATAGAAACCAGCTGTTATATATATGTATTAGCTATAATATATAGAAGTCAGCTATAATACATACATATTAGCTATAATATATCGAAGTCAGCTATAATATATATACACTAGCTATAGTATATAGAAAACCTAGCTATAATATATACATATCAGCTATTTTAGATATATATCTGTAATACATGAAGATAAGCTTTAGATCTTATGGCCATACCCACACAGCAAAGCGCAGAAACCCCGGGGTGGGTTCGAGGGGTGCTGGGGGGGGAACGGCTGAGCATCCCCCCCAGCTGCGCAGAAGAGCTAACGGGGACCTCTGAGATCCTAGGGGGCAAGAGCCCCCCAAAACCCCCCACCAGTGGGGCTCCTCACCCCCCCAGCGCTGGGGCAGCCTGGCCGTGGGCTGGGGCTGAGATTCCCACTTTAATATTTAATGGGAGATTAAAGATAAATCTAGGGGGGGATTTTTTTTCTTTTTTTCTTTTTTTTTTTTTTTTTTTAATTTTATTTTATTCCAGTGTATCGCAAAAATGAGCTATGAATAAAACTTAACTTGTGCAGAAGAGGATTTATTTATGAGTTTCAGCTGAAATTTGCTCCGCGAGGGCCCGGAGCAGGCAGGCAGGAATACAGATGAGATCCTGCTTCCCGCAGGCGAAGCCGGCAGCTGGGGAAGCTGGAGGTATAAATTTTACCTCCCATATCCCAGCTCTGCGCCTGCATTCCTATTTATTTATTTATTATTTATTTTATCTTATTTGGATTATTCTGGCAATATTTACTCTCCGAGGAAATTAATCTCGGGGGCTCCGTACGTATGCTCAGGCTCCGCGTGAGACTCCTGGCTCAGATTTGGCAAATACAAACCCCATTTCAGCAGAGGGGGCGATGCCATGGATGTAAAAAACCTCCCCCCTTCCTCAAAAAACTATTTCCCTTCATCTTTAATTAATTAGCTGATGTTAATGAAAGCATCACATTTCCATGACGACCCGGGATTCCAGAGCCCAGCCCAGTGCTGCAGCAATAGTTGGAAATTAAAGTGATAAATAATAGATGCTCACCGTTAATGAACTAATTTAAAATGGAGATTTTTTTTTTTTTTTTTTTTTTTAAAAAAATTCACAACTCTTTCTGCTCACAGCAAAGCCATTAGCATTTGCTTGGAAGCAGAACCAAGTCAGTGAACAGTAATCGATTCCTTTTATTAGCAAATCGAGATGTGCTTTAATATTTATCAGTTTATTGTTAAGAAATCACCTGGGAGGAAAGTGCCCCCTCCCTTCCCCGTGAAACTCCACTTCAAATCCCATGCAAACTTTCCAGAATTAAATTTATTAGGGGTATAAATTTATAATGGCTTAACTTGCTACACAGATGGAATATATATTGCTAATGTAATTTTCCAAACCAGTGATGAGCGTGTCTGAGAGATTTATTTTTTTTATGGCTAAGTAATACAGACTAATATATCACACAATGGCAAAATATATTAAATATGTACATGAAACATCAGAAACAAAATAAGGTGGTGATTAGGCCTGTGCTGTGTTACGCCCCAGGGCAGGGGCTGGGATGCTCGGTGGGAGGTGGGGACAAACCCGGCCGGGATTTCGCCTTGTTCCGAGGATGATGCCGGGATGCCGAGCAAGGTGCAGCCCCCCGGCCCCCCCAGAGGCAGCATCTCCTCCTGAGCCATCTCCCTCCTCCAGCAGCTGCGGCCCAAAAGGACCCGTTATGCCAAAGAGCTTATTTAAACGAGGTTAATTTAAGTCTCCGGCATGTCTAAATGAGCTGGGCTGCTTTTGCCTCCTCCCTTTTCAGTGGCGGCGGAGGGGTGGGAGCCTGTGGAGAATGCGTGAGCGGCTCGGGAAGAAAAATGAAGGGAAGATAAAAAAAAAATATATATAAAAAGACAAATGGGGTCTAATTGGCATAATGGGGTCTAATTTGTTTTCGAAAGCCGCCTCTCTCCTGACCCAGGGAATTGGCATTGCATGAAAAATACCCGCAGCATGCGAATGAGCCGGCTCCTCGGCAGCTTTATGGATCCCACCTGACACGAGCCCCTCGTTAAATCAAACCAGAGATAGCGCAAGAATTAAACTGTCAGGATAACGCATGCCGGTGTTTGCTGGGTGGCGGCAGCGCCCGCAGCCCCGTCCCGCTCCGGGAGGGATGGATGTGCCAGGGCAGGGGGTTATCCCCCCACCTCCCACCCTCCCGGGGCAAAGGGGGACAGGGCTGGGATGGGGCAGGGGGGGGGAAATGCCCCCGGACTCCCTTCTCTCCATCCTCAGCCACTTGCTGAGCGGAGAGTTATTGCTGGCTGCGCTCACCGCCTCGGACCATCAATTACTCTCTAATCCCCAGCGTAGTTTCATCGCTGGAATCATCTGCGTGGGGCCAGGGACCTTCAGTTGAACCAGGGGATAGAAGAGGCTTAAAAAAAAAAAAAAAAAAAAAAAAAAAAAAAGGCAATAAATCCCAGCACACCAGCCCAGCCAGCTCACGGAGAAAAGTGGCGTTGCAGCCTGCCGGGGCACGAGGAGGGGACACTGGGCTGGCACCGGTGCCGCCGTGCTCGCGCCAAGTCCTGTCCCAGAGAAGCTGAAGCCGCCTCGTTAAGCACGGCACCGGCCCGGTGGGAAAATGAAGGATTTTAAAATTACTTTAAATCCTTTTAAATCCCTTTCCAAGGGGACCAGGCTTCAGCATGACCTCCCTCTGGTGCTGGTCACCCAAGGGCACCCACGGGTGTTGGGGCGCAGCTGGCTGCTCCCCAAAAGCTCTGTAAGGAGCAAACCCCGTCCCAGCAGAGCTCAGCACCCTGCTGAGGGGCCCAGCCCCTCCTATCCCCAGCCCAGGTGGGGCAGGAGGAGCCTATATGAGGAGCCCTTGGCAGGGCTCAGGAGACAGATCCTGCCCTGAGCCGCCTGCTCGCCCTCCCAGAAGATGCAGCCGGGTGAGAGCAGCTCTCTCCCGTTCAAACAAATGAAAAGCCTTGGTACGTTACTGGGGACGAGGGGAACAGAGGCGCGGTGACGGGCTGCGCTTATTGCTGCTCCTTTTCTCTTCCACAGCCACCAGGATGCACGAAGTGACACAGATCCGGCTTAAATATCCCAACAAGATCCCGGTAAGGGCGGCGCACCGCTCTCTTCGTGACCACCGATGCTGAAATCAAGCTGTGAGGGTCTTCAGCAAAGACTTGGGTGGCTCGATTCCAAAAAGCGCGGCTCTGCCCCTCTGGGGCCCCCTGCAAGTGTGGTCCCCAAACCCCCATCCCCGTCTCCCCGCTGCAGGTGATTGTGGAGCGCTACCAGAAGGAGAGGACCTTGCCCCCCCTGACCAGGAGCAAGTTTTTGGTGTCCCAGGACCTGCCCCTGTCCCAGTTCGCTGTCACCCTGCGGTGAGTGGTTAATGGCACAGAGGGGCCAAGGCTTGCTTGGGGTAAGGCGAGGGCTCCAGACCCAGCCCAGGGCAAAAGCCCAGTCTGGATGCAGCTGGTCCTGTGAAACAACTTGGCTTGGAAGCCCCTTCAGCTCCTTTAGACACTTGTTCCACTGGGCAAGTGTTTAGTGGGCAAGTGCTTCAACTTAGCCTAATGCAATTAGCCTTTTCAATTAGCAAAGAGCATTTGCTTGCCAAGGCATGGGGTGCCCTATGGCAGAATTCCTCCACCCTCGCTGGGATAAAAGGTGACAATCAGCTCATCACCTGGGAACTCGCAGCACAAGGCAAACTGCTAATTGGGGGTAGGTGATTAGCAGCCCTGCAAACCAGCAGCACTGTTGCTGCTGGCTTGAAGCCTTCGGGTTCTGCTCGAGGTCCCTCCTGCGGACCAACATCTGGCAGCGCAGCTCAGGACCCCGATGGAGGTGAGAGCTTGGGGCTGTTTTGGGGAGCAGTGGCCGTGCCCTAGCACCCACCTTCATGCCTGTGGGTGCTAGGGGGTGGCTGGCACCTGGGGGGGGGTGGGGTGTGATGCTGAAGCTCAAGCCCTTTGGGAGGAACTACTAAATGCCTGTGCCAGCACTGTGCCCCCACGGATGGGTCCCCTACTAGGGAGCCTCCCCCGCTGCCTGGCGCTGGGTGATCTTCATCCCAGCGCTGCCTTCACCTTCCTCTCGCAGGACGCGGCTCTGCCTGGCCTCCTCCCAGACCTTCTACCTGCTGGTGAACAACCAAGGGCTGCCGAACATGGCCATCACCATGCAGGAGCTCTATCGGGACAACAGGGATGAGGATGGCTTCCTCTACCTGACCTACGCCTCGCAGGAGATGTTCGGCTGCTCGTCCTCCGGCGAGCCGGTGGCTGCTTGACCCTCAAACCTCCTGCCCGCGCCGCGGCTTCTCGGCTCAGGGCTCCCAACGCCGCTGAGATCGGGGACGTTCGCCTCCAAACTTCGCTTAAAATCTGTGGGGAGGCCCAAACTGTGGCTGGACCAAACCTCGCCTTCCCTCCGGCTGCAGTTTGACAGGCTCAGCTTTGTAACGGCCTTAAAAACTCCGCTCGATGCCTCCTCCTTAATCTTGGGGCTTTAGTTACAAATTATTCTCCCAACACAGCGGAAGATGGGGCTGGTTTACTCTGATCCAGGGGAAGGTTATTCTTCTAACAGGCTCTTCTAAAGGGCTTTACAGCCTGTCATCCCTGCTCAGAAAACTTAGGCTCTTTCTAAATAGGATTGGGGAGGAGGGGTTTCATGGTTTGTGCAGGTTTCTGTTAAGCTCCGTGTCCCTTCTAGCTGCTGCTAAAGAATCTGTGCTCTTGAGAGGTGGAATAAAGAAAATGGGGCTGGTGCCTCTGGTCAGCTTAATGCAGCTCGTCCCTTGGGTGTGAAGCCGGTTTTAACCTGGGGGCTTTGTCCCTGGCTTTGCTGGGCTGCCAGCAGATGAGTTTGGGGGGGGGGTCGGGGGAGCAAGAGCACAGAGAGGGGAAAGGACTTTGCTCCCACCACTGCAAAAGCAGCCTGGGAGGGATCCTCCAGCAAAAGAGCAGCTCCCCATCTCATTCCCCTCTGTAGAATTGGGGGTGCCGCCCCCCAGCACCCCAAGGATGGGGTACAGAGCTAAAACCTGCAGCAGAGATTAGCCGAGCTCAAACTGTCGTGTTGTGCTGTGAGTCAGACATAAATGCTTCCTGCCACTGATACTGCAAAATGCCTCTTAAATATTTAAGGCTTCCCTCGCCATAAAATGCATTGTCACCCTGGGTGAATATTTCATGCACGTTTCGTGTTAAAATGTTAATAAATAAGCTCTAAAATTAGCTGCCACAACAGCAGGAGCCGAGTCCCTGATGAGCTGGGGGGAGCTGAGACAAGTTCCCCCTCCCATGCAGGGATGGAGAGCGGGAGCTGGGGTCTGTACTGTGTCCCCCCCCCACCCCCCCAACCTGGCTGCAGCCCCCCCAAAACTGCAGCAGCAGTTTTTGTTTTTTCCCTGAGGCTTCGGGTGGGCTCAAGGCTGAGCTGGGGCACCGAAAGTATTTTTGTGGGGGACGCCGGCTCCTTGGTCACTGGAGGGAAGGGGGGAGCCCTGGTGATGGGGGGAGCCTGGCTTGGCATCTTGGGGTGCTGATGTGGCTCCCGGGTTGCTGCCAGGGAGGAGCACGGGGGGCAGCTGGAAATGCTCATGGCTGCCTGCTCCCGAACCGGCACGGAGCTGCAACCTTTAAAGCGAAGAGCAGGGCCGGGACAGAGTACAGAGGAACCACAGACCTGATTTTCCCAAGGAAAGGAGCTCAAAATAAATAAATAAAAAAAAAAAAAAAAAAAAAAATTCCAGTCTCACTGAGCTGGGGGCCTTGTTAGCTCAGTGTCTGCCCCACCCCCTTCACCCGGGCTCCAGCACCCCCAGCCTTTTTCCCATCTGTTATCCCAACCCCAGCGCTTCCCTCTGCAAGTGCCGGAGCTGCTTCCCAGGCAGATGTTCGGAGGCAGCACTTGCTGCCTGCACAGACACCTTCCTGCTCAGGGTTTTTTTTTTTGGGTATTTTTTCTTTTTTTTTTTTTTTTTAACAAACGTATATTTAACTTGTCAGCTTGCAGCTGATCTGCTTATACCTAACCTCATCTCTCTCCCTGTTGAATAGGGAAGGGGCTGGCATGCCTCAGTGTTTACACACACACACAGCTTCCGTGCTCCTATTACCTCTAGGCATCCTGTAATTAAAAGCATGAGCTCTTTAGGGTGAAGACTCTCTGTTGTATGTGTATATATTATTTATTAGGCTCCCTGCAGCCCATAGGGCTGGTTCAGAGCAGCCTGGACGTTCCACCTCCTTCCCTGCAGAACTGCCTTTATGCATACGTGTGCGCATGCATTATTTTTCCATGAGCATCCCTCAGATACCTGAAAACTACCTGGAAGCCCCCAGGCTGCAAGCAAAACGGAGAAGCAATGTGCATTGCAGGAGGGGGGAGCTGGGGGAGGCCTCTCTCAATCCATCCTCTCCTGTCCCAGGCTCGTGTCAGAGCAGGATGGATGGGGCTGGCATTTGTTAGATGAAAGTGTATTTTTCACTAGAGAATTGCTTCCCAGAAAGCTTCTGCATTCAAAAGGAGGGGTTGAAAGCAAGGAGAGCCCCGGCTGGGCTTGCAGCTGTGCTCCCCCCCGAAAGCTTTCACTGCTCGGAGCATCACCTCCACCCCAGGCGTGTGCCACCTGGAGAAGGATGGGGTGGCTTGCCCTGCCAGTAAAAAAAAAAAGTCTCAATTATAGGTTGAATTAATGCTGAAGGCTCCCAGAGCTGTAACATGCGGCACCTTATGGGTTCAGAGCGGGTTCAACTCCTTAATTAGTTGGCAGTGAGGAATAATCTGTGAAAGAAAAGGGTCTGGAGCAGAGAGGGGTTAAAGAAGGGGGAGGGCAGCCCAGGCAAGCACTAATCTCCGGTGGTAAAGGACTTTTCTCACACACCTGATCTGCTTTCCTGCCCTTTTCCCATTTGCCCTCAACACGGGAAGGGAGGGGAAGCCCAAAACGCTGTTTCCTTGCAGATGTCGGGGCTTCCTCCTCCGTCAAGATGAATCTGATGGGGAAGGCTGTGATGGGGCGCGAAGCTCAAGGGTCTCCCACCGCCCAGCCCAGCCTAATGGGACAAAGGACCCTTGGGGACATCGGCAAAGCCCGGCGAACGCTCTGGAAGGCGGCAGGGCTTTCGTCAGGCTTTGCTTCAAGGGAACCTGCTGCCTCCCAGAGTCGTCGCTAGACCAACTCCGAAGCCTTGCAGCCTTCAGCAAAGCTGGGCAAAAGCGAAAAAAATGCAGAAGCCGCCCAGGAGGGATGAGGTGAGCTTAGGGAGTCCAAGACGCGGCTTTGTCCCCCCCTGAATCCCCCCGCAGAGGCGGCTGGGGGAAGGTGCCCTCAGAGCCCCGCTCCCCTGGGCTGGTTTTCCCAGGAAAAAGGTACTTTTAGGGACAGTGAGAGACGGCATCCAAGCTGCCCCGTGGGTTGGGGGTGCTGGCAGGGCACAGCAGTGCGGATCGCTGGAGAACTTGGCTCCGTCTCCCTCAGGATCCCATTTTTTGTCAGAGACAGCAAACAGTCCTGCCTTGTCCGACCGACACGAGGATCATGCCCAGACCCCGAATTTCCGCACGACGCGCCACAGAACCACGCACACCCTGGGCTGGTCACACTGGGAACAGCTCTCCCCCGTCCAGACGTGCGGGTGCTGAAGGACGGTCTTCACGTTTTTTAATTTCTTCTGGCAAATCAGTTAAAAAAAAAAAAAAAAAAAGGCCAAACCAGCATTTCACGGGATGCCGATGGACATTTTGCCGGTTCATTTATTTTGCTAAATGCCATTTGTAATCGCAAGCTGCCCGTACTAGTACAAATATAATTACATATTTATTGCCAATATAATTCTGAGTTAATTATACGGCAACTAATTTTCTCAGCAGGGGCTCGCAATATTTGGGTGTAAAGGAGACAGCTGTAATTCCGAGCACTTTTCTCCCCCTTTCTTTAACACATTATGCAATGCTGCTCCGTTACTCTCTGGAGGCACTGAAGGAGACCGGCCAACGTGTGGCAGGCGCAGAAGAAATCTTCTTTCCAGATGCTGCCGAGCCCTGAGATTTCCTGACATGCACCGCTGGACAGGATTTCACCTCCTCGCTCCTCATTAAGATTCCCTTCAGAGCCGTTTTGTGTGTTCATTAGCGGGTAAATATCTATTGTTGGACTCTTTATCAGTTGGAAGAATTGCCATGCCTTTGTTTTGTAAATTGTTCTTTCATCTCTGAAGATGGTGTTTGTGTGGGAAACACAGCTCAGCACACTGGCTCCTGATTATACTCAATTCCTTTTGTCTAGCCCTTGAATAGATGTTTTCCATGAGAGCCATAATAATGAAGCCATCTCCAAATTGAGGTGATTAAGCCCTCGCTTCCTCTGGCTGCTTTTTGTCCCCATCCCAAATTTTGTGGTTTGTCACATGGAGCGTCCGGCTTTTCTTTTATTCCGGTTTTGCTCCTCCTGCAGCTGGAGGCTTCATGACTGTCACTTGGCTCCTGTGTGATGAAGAAGGTACCCGAGTGGTTGCTTCCAGGCGCCGGGTCCTTCGTGAGATGCTTTTATGCCATCCCTCTCCCCCAAAACCTTCCCCTCCCACTGCAAGGTTTGTTCTGCACTTTCTTGCTCCAGTTGGAGTTGGGGGGGTGGGTGGGGGTGTCCCCGTTGGTGCACTGAAATAACCCAAAAGGGAAAACAAGCCATTGGGCTTGCTCAAGGTCCTTCCTGAGCCTGCAAGCTCTTGGAAGTCACTGGAGCCCCGTCAGTGCTGTAAGGAACTGAAGGAACTGATGCCTCAGACATTCCTGGACACAGAAAGCCCCAAGGACACGTTGTGGCCTTTGTGATTAGTTGGAGGAAGCTGCCCAGGCCAGCGTGGGGGGGATCGAGGGGCGCACAGCTCCACCGCCTGCTGCTGTAGTGCTAAATTCCTCGGATAAGCCCCAAAAGAAGGAAACATAGCCCAAGTGAAACTCTATGTTCAGGGAAAAAGACTCATAAGAGAGATAAATAACCAGCACCAGATGGACCTGAGCGAAAACTGAGGAAAAAAATAAGGGCGTGGGAGCTGAGCACAACCACTGACTCAACTGGCAAGGGGGGTGGTGCACCCCTTTCCCTCTCAGCGCATGCGCAGAACCCGTGCTCCAGCTTTCCCTCGTCTCTCATGGAAACGGGATCCTGGAGTACCTGCCTCTCTTGGTCTAGGATGCTCTTCAGCTGATAGAGGTGAACTTAAAAGGTGACAGAAAACTTTGCTGGGGGTGCACCCAGCACCCAAGATTTCCAGGTCTGAGACAACACTGGAACTTGGAGTGGTGAACCGGACTCTCTGTCCTTTCTTTTTGTTTCCTTTCTTTTCTTTCTTACAGATTTATCAGTAAGAGACCCCATTGCTTACTCTCCTTTTCCAAGTTTCAGTTGTTTCTAGCGCGAGTAAAACATTTTAACCGATCGTTTGGTGTCGTTTCAC